GGCCAAGTGGTGTGGCACTAACACTTGAGACTGATATGCATGTTGTTGATATTTTGTAATGAATTGGATGATCCATAGAATAAATTCCCTTGGCTTGATTGCCAAAAAAAAAAAAAAAAAAAAAGTTACTAGTTTGGGTTCGTAACATTTTTAACTCGAGTAATTAAGCCCGTTGGCATGTCTCTACACCTAGTGTCCTAAAGCCATTTGGTTGGCCTAACACTTGCTACGTGGGTTAATTAAAAAGCTTAAGGCTATGTTCATTGGGGGATTTGGGAAGGGATTTGGAAATGAAAAGGGAAAGGGAAAGGGAAAAGATGTGTGAAATTGGGTGAAATGTAAATATATTTTATTCACATTTCACCTACATTTTCCCTTTTCCTTTCCAAATCCCTTCCCAAATCTCCCAATCAAATAGCGCAAAGGACCTAGACATTGCATAGTCGCGGGAGAAAAGAAAAAAAAATGACTATTTAGGTTCGTAGCCTTTTTAACTCGAGTTATTAAGCTCATTGGGGTGTCTCCATACCCAGTGCCCTAAATCCATTTGGTTTGGGAGTCATTGGCCTAACTCGTCACGGGTTAATTAGAAAGCTTAAGGGACCTAGACATTGCATAGTCACAGAAGAAAAAAAAAAGTGCATCAAAGTCAAGCCATTGGTTGCATTGTTTTACGGAATGTCTAATGAATTGTGGCGTATTGGTGATATGTGTATTAAGGATTAAGTTGGGGGGCGTATTTCTATGTGAATATTCACTTCACACCAAAGGAGTATGTGATGATTTTCTACTAAATAGTATATTGAACTTGAGTAATATTGTTTCAAAGTGAGGTGTTTGACTGGTTAAAATAGTCCATGAATGATAACTGTGAGTCTTAACTGTTTGGTATTCTATATTGACTGCTTCACAGGGTGTTTGTTTGAATTTGAAAGTTGAACTGGGGTATTTCATATATGTTAGAATCGTACGAGTCGCGATTCGATTTGTACTATTCGATATGAGTTTCATCCTACACGATACGACTCGCAAGTTTGAATCTGAAATTCCTTTGAATCACACAATTCAATATTTGTATCGCATAGAATCAGGTGTATCGCACGATTCTTGCACTTCGCAATAACAGGCATCATTTTTTTTTCTTTCTTTATTTTCGATCAATTACGACTCAAGTGAGTCTGAAACCAAATCAAATGGAAGAAGAAGAAGAAGAAGAAGGTGAAATCGTAGTAAGAGAAGCAGAAGAAGAGAGACCAAAACATACCTATTGTTCACCGTCTTTCACCATCTCCTTCCATCAGGTCTACATCTCCCCTCTACTATTTCTCCAATTTTTTCCTTTCTTTTTTTATTTTTATTTTTTGACTGATATTTTTGCATATATATATTTTTTCTTTTGCAGGTATATGAAGAGAGAACAGAGTAGACGAAGAGCGAGAGAGAGAGAGATATGAGAGCTCTTCAGTTTTTTCAACCTTTTTTGCTTGGGAGTTGTGGTTGTTGGGAACAGTTGTTGACAAATCTGGTTGGACCAAGAAAGCTTGAAGGGCAGCTGTAGCTTAGTTGAAGACTGTCTTTTGGATACCACACCATAACACACCATTGGTTAAAAAGAAGTGGAATCTGCTGGCAATTGCACAATAATTAACGTAGAAATTATTAATTAACTTAGAAATTGATAATTATTTATTACAAATTACAAATTATATTAATAAGTAAATTATTTGTTCAATAAAAATTTCATTATATATACATAAATATATATATATATATATTTAATAAGAAATGTGAATCTTACGATTCACGATTCAAAATTTTTACAAAATTATTCACGATTGGATTCGCGATTTAACAGCCAAGGGGTATTTTATCTTTTGTCTGAATTGTGTGGATAGATTCACTGCAAACCCTCACGAAACTCCACTCGTCCACTTGGGCAACCTTATGGTTTAAAAGGTTTGTTGCATACACTAAACGCAATCGTGATCCCTACGAAAATGGCTTAGATAGATTTTATTTTATTTTATTTTTCTTTTGCTTTGCTAGAGGACTAGCAAAGTGTAAGTTGGGTGTGATAGGTGCTGAAATGAACACATTTAAGCCCCCTAAAATACAATTGTTATTCCTTGAATTATTACTACTTGACGGTTTTAATGAGTTTGTATATGTGTAGGTTATTCAGGCTTTGTGAGATGAAATGAAAGTGACCTTAATTTGAAGTATTTGAAGCCCGAGTGACAAGGTTCAACCCAAGTTTAAAGGCTCGGAAGATGTAAATAATTGAATCAAGCAATAAAAGTCCAACCCATGAGATTTGAAGAAAGAAAAGTTACAATTGTTGCAATCCAGCTATAGAGTCACTCTGCATTGCCTTCAGTGGCCCCGTTTGGTAGAGCTGTGGAAAAGTGATTATAACTTATAGCCTAATAGCTTATACCTTATAACTGTAAACACAAGTTAATTTTTGACTTATAAATTAAGTTTCTCCTCCCCCACTCAAAGAATAAGTTGATTTTTGACTTACAAAAAGCTATAAGCTGTATTATTAAGCTGAACCAAACACATCAAAATAGCTTAAATTAACCTAAAAACTAAAATAAGCTGGAAATAAGCCCTACCAAACAGGGCTAGTATTTTGGATGTATATCTCTCATCCGATATCAGATTGAAGTGATTCAAGCAGCATTGGAAAGATAAATCAAAGGGCTACGATTTTGTATGAAATAAAAAAATTTCAATTCTGAATTTTTATAGGTCAAAACAGGCCTGCAAGATGAGTCAAAAAAGCTGGGAATAATTCTATCGGAATTTCCCTTTTATTTTAGAGAATTCTAGCCTATTGGGTATTATTTAGATGTCTCCTATGTCTATAAATACATAAGTGGAAAGAGGCAAGGAGAAGAGGTTTTTCATCTCAACCATGAGCGGCTAATCTTCTTCTCCGAGATTGAGATAAAACCCTAATCAAGTAACTTGTATTAATGTATTGTGATTTTAGTTTTGATTTGGTTTGGATAATCATTGTACAACTTTCAAAGTTTATTTATTCAAGTAAAGTTTTCATCTAATGAATGTATTCGATTTCTGTGATTGAGAATATATTGTTATACAATTGTTTTATTTGTTTGTATATACAAATTGTGAGACGAGTCCTACGTTACACGGACTCGGGTGTGAGTATCAGGTGTGGGTGCGTATCTAGGGGTCGAATACTTTAAAATTAAAAATTAAGGATACGTGGATATGGATCCAAATTTATATACAGATATGGGGATAAGTTAAATAGTTATTTTTTAAAAATATATTTATTATATGAAGATGAGTTAAAAAAAGTTAAGGAATAACAAATTTTGTTAAAAAAATAACAAATAAAAATTATTTTAGGCATCAAATAAATTATATTATATATGAGAAAATAAGTTATTTTTATTTTAAACATAAAAATTATATTATTTATGATATATTATATTATATAATATTTTTTTGAGTGAATAATATTATATAATATGAATACTGTTATATATTATTATATTAATATTAATATCATTTATATTATATAATATAAATCTAATTAGAAAGCAGAGAAAGAGAATAGAGAGGAAGAGAAGACAAAGCCAAAGAAGAAGAGAGTGAGAGAAGAGAAGATAGAAGAGAGAGACCAAAGGGGAATCGAAGCCCCAGGATCATTTTTTGGATGGAATCGACTTCGTGATGTTGGTTGTCAGATATCCTTCAATTCGGTCTAGTTCGCAACTAGGGTTCGCGCTTCGATCTCGCTTCGCAACTCGACTTGCTTCACAAAGGTGAGTTGCAGCCCTCTCTCTCTCTCCATCTCTGAGTTTCAACCATATATGCCATCTTTCTTTTTCGTTTGTCATATACACTTTCTCCATGATGTATCCTGGTCGTATCCCATACCCATGTCGTGTCGTGTCGTGTTGACACAGGTACTTCGCCAAATCTGACGAGTCCGTGTAACATAGGACAAGTCATACCTATGGAAGACGAGTCTTGCTACAACCCTAGTTTCGTGTAGACGATTCATGCCAACTGAAGATGATTCGTGCCTGTGATTTTATTATACTCATTCTCTAGACGATAATATCGAGACTTGTAGCCACGATACATCACTATTATCCGAATCATTGATTTACGGGAATTCAATACATTAATTACTTGTTATGAGATTACAAGTGGATTCGAAACTCCAATTTATTTTCTACTTAAATTCCACCCAATCTTTCTTTTTATTTAATAATTGTTTTTAGTTAATTTTAGATTAAAATCAAAATATTCATCTGATTTGAATTAATTAAGAATTTAGTTTCTAATATTTGAACAACTTAGCTTTCTAGTCCCTGTGGATTGATACCTGAACTAAACCACTATTCTATTGAATTAAGGTCTTACTAAGGATTTATTTTTAGTGTGCAAAACGACCTACCAAGTTCTACCCAAGGGCACTATCGTAAAAGCATACGAATCTCCAAACTTCAGTGGAGAATCTGAAATTGGGTTTATGCCACTTCTAAGAAGTCAGGTGTCAGATATTTCTTAATGAAAGAAAAAGGTGATTTGGGATATCTCTCTCCCACTCTAGGAGGACCCTCCAATATACAAATAGAAAACAGACATTGCCTCAAAGCAATATGTTACCTAATTTAACTTGAAATTATTCAAAAATAAAGAAAAATTATAAAATAAAATAAAAATTTGCAGAATAAGTCATATAATTCATATACACAGGTGATTCTTGAAAAATGGAAAAATTATTCACATTTAACCTACATAACTTGGATGTAATTAAAAGGAAAAATGATTCATACACTGAATTTGAGCTCGCCCAAATTTTGTAAGCCGGACGACTGCCTGGACAACCAGTGCAACCCTTATCAACCGTGGTTATCACCCTTGTTCCCGGATGACCGGCATGCACAAATTCGGGCAATTCGAGCGAGCCAAAATTCGGTGGATGTAGCATTGCTCAATTAAAAACATACCTGACAGCCAATGTGGACTGAAGTTTGTGAGAAGCCAGTTTTTTTATTGTATTGGGAACCCCAACTGTTGAAATTGTTATCATTCTTTGCCCAATTTGCACATCCTTACAAGAGGAGACAACAGGGAGGGAAGGCAAAAAGAAGAAAAAGAATAACACACCATGTAGAAGGTAAGATTCAAAACCCAAAAGCTAACAATTGTTGCACCATCACAACTAGTAGAAAATAAACTGTATGAAATGAGAATCAATGCTAAAACATCGATGTACTAACTACCACACTAGCAGTTTAAAAATCAAGACAACTTGTATGACTTCGCGAAAGCCAGCTTTTGCTAAATGGTGAACACAATAAATTCTATTAACACATGCCCGCAATCCCAACAATCAATACAGAAACTCTGAAACAGCTCTTCCAAATTTTAAATGAAAACTACAAAACAAAATTATCAAAAAATGAGAAAGATTATTGATTAATAAATATTTTACATCGAAGATATTAATATGCTAATTTTTTTAAAAATAGCCTTAATAGATTATAGTTGTGTCGCAGAACTAATAGTTACTCATAAAAACAATGTTTGACCAAGTTACAAGCATTGGTCAAAGTTTGTTGTCAAAAACAATAATATTACACTTAAAAGGAGGTTTAAAAAAGGGTTATTTACACCAAGACAACCTCATTTACGAACCCTCACATTTTGACCTCTTGACGACGGGCCCAATCAAGAACATAAGAGAGAATTTAAAGAGAAATATCTCAATTAATCAATGTTCAATATCTAAAAGTTGGCTAAAGTGGTTATGCCTCTTTTAGATATAGGCTACAATTTCCTTCCACTAACTATCACATGCTATGCACATGATATCCTACATCATGCTCTCCTCATCAAAAGAACTTGTTCTCAAGTGAAGACAAACAAAACACAACTAATGCACTAGAAGTGAAACCAAAACTAGAAAGTATAATACAAACAAATTCCACAAAGAAAACTAATCTACAATGATAGAAGTGGTGTTGATACAAGAATCATCCGGCAAAATAGGCACAAGATGTTGCACGTTAAAGGTGCTAGAGATTCCCAAATGAGGCGGCAATTTGCCTTAATAAGCATTGTCGTTGACTTTGTGTTTGTGCAACATTTCATAAAGACCCACCTTCCTATCACTTAATTTGGTGCAAGCACCATAAGGATACCTTTCTTTGCTCAACACAACCCACACAAGATCCCCCACCTCAAACAACACTTTCCGTTTATGAACGCCGATTTGTATTTGGCATTGGACTTTTTAATTTGGGCCCTAACTTGGGCATGAACATTCTTCATGAATATGTAGCTATGTCCTCCGCTTTAACATTTCCCTTACTTGAGATAGGCAACGGAACCAAGTCCATAACACTTCAAGGTTTCATTTCATAAACTACTTCAAAGGGAGAAGTATTTATGGTGCGGTTGATCGATGAATTGTAAGCGAACTCGACCAAAGAAATAATACCATCCCAACTCTTGGGATGATCTCCCGCAAGACACCTCAACAAGTTGCCAAGATTTCGATTCACTACCTCTGTTTGGCCATCGGGTTGAGGATGAAATGCAGTGCTAAAGTTCAAGTCGTTGTCAATTTTCCTCCACAAAGTTCTCCAAAAGTGAGCAAGGAACTTAGTATTTCTATCGGACACAATTGAGGTAGGCACCCCATGCAACTTATAGACTTCCTTGAAGAAGAGGTTAGCAATATTTGTAGCATCCATGGTCTTCTTGCAAGGTTTAAAATGTGCCATCTTGGAGAAACTATCCACCACCACCATAATAGAATCAGTCCTTTGTATAGGAGGTAAACCCAACACAAAGTCCATACTAATGCATTGCCAACCGGTAAAGGCATATATAATCCCACATTAGTCATGGTCCCTTTGCTCCTTTGACAAATTTGACACCATTTCACATGGTTGCCCACATCCTTGGTCATGCCCGGCCAATGATAAGCATCTTGAAGTAACCCAAGGATCTTGTCCTTGCCAAAATATCCCAATTCGTGATATTCAATCAACAAATGCGTCCTCAAGGAATAACTAGGCACACACAACTTAAGGTCATGGAAGAGGAAGCCATCCCTAATCATGTAGCTTGGATAAGTAGCCCTTCGCCCCCTTTGGAAAGCATCAAACATCTTGGAGAAGTAAAGATCACTTGCATAGAATGTGCGAAACTCATCAAAACCCACAACGTCATTCTTCATCTCAATTAGAAGAGTCGTTCGCCTACTCAAACTATTGACCACTTTATTAAGAACCCCCGATTTATGTCGCAAAGAGAATGTAAATTGTTGCAAGTAAGCCATCCATTTGGCATGTCTCTTATTGAGATGGGATTGGCTATTGATGTACTTGAGGGCCTCATGGTCGGTGTTGAGCACGAACTCCTTACAAGCAAGGTAGTAGCTCCAATGCCTAATGGCTTGGATGATGGCATAAAATTCCAAATCATAAGTAGAATACTTGAGCTTAACCCCATTCAACTTTTCACTAAAGAAAGCAATTGGCCGCCCTTCTTGGCTAAGGATGCCACCAATGCCCAATCTCAAAGCATCACAATCAATTTCAAAGGTTTTGTCAAAGTCTGGTAGTGCCAAAATTGGAGCTTCGGTAAGCACCTTCTTTAAAAGTTGGAAGCTATTAGCGGCCTCTTTGTTCCATTCAAAAATCTTGAGCTTGAGAATGTTAGTTACAGAAGCAGCGAGGCTACTAAAGTTCTTGATAAACCACCTATAGAAAGTAGCCAACCAAAGAAAACTCCGCACTTCATGGATACTAGAAGGAGTAGGCCAATCCACAATCGCCTTGACCTTCTCCATGTCCATAAGCACCCCACGAGAAGACATAACAGAACCCAAGAAGATGACTTGATCAACAGCAAAGCTACACTTCTTAGTGTTGCTATAGAACTTTTCTCGCCTCAAAAGTTCAAAGACTTGCCAAAGGTGGCACAAATGCTCTTCCAAGCTTCAACTATAGATCAAGATGTCATCGAAGTAAATCACTACACAAACACCCAAAAGTAGTTGCAACATTTGTGTCATCACCCTCATAAAAGTGCTTGGAGAGTTGGTAAGCCTAAATGGCATCAAAAGCCACTCAAATAGTATATGAGGTGTTTTAAAAGTCGTTTTCCATTCATCACCCGGCTTAATGCGGATTTGATGATAACCGCTTCTAAGATCAATCTTAGCAAACACCTTTGACCCGGCAAAGTAATCCAACATATCATCCAATCTTGGAATTAGAAAGCGATAGTTGATGGTAATTTTGTTGATTGCACGGCTATCCACACACTTGCGCCATGATCCATCCATCATAGGTGTCAAAAGGGCTAGAACACCACAAGGGCTAAGACTCGGCTGGATATACCCTTTAGCCAAAAGCTCTTCTACTTGCCGTTGAAACTCCTCTTTCTCCTTTGGAGACATGCGATAAGCCAATTTATTTGGAGGCGCCAACCTGGGTACCAAATCAATTCGATGTTGGATGTCACGCATAAGAGGCAAATCAGGAGGAAGCTCTTGGGGAAAGACATCGACATACTCTTCCAAAAGAGTAGTCACATCAACATTTTCCTTAGTAGCATCCATGTGCACAACCGGAACCAAAGCCAATATAATCTCAAAATCTCGAGTTTATTCCAAAAATTCCTTGGAAGCAAGCAAGGTGGTAGAACTAGAAGATAGCTTAGAAGCAACCTTTTGCTTCATTGGAAGCAATATAAAATGGTCATCATTCTTCATAACGGTGTAAGTGCTCTATTTGCCATCATGCAAAGATTACTGGTCATATTGTCAAGGATGCCCAAGTAGAATGTGACAAGTATCTATAGGCACTACATCACACCCTATGAAGCACGAACACGTCGCCAAGGCCTACATATGAGTGTCCGACACATTGTGGACACGTGTCCGACACTCTCCCTTACGTGTCCCCTTTTTTTTTTTTTTGGAATTTTTCCAATCAGACACGCAATGGACACGCGATGACACATTTCAGACACACGCAAGGTGGATCAAAGAAGCCTTAGATCTGTTGGAGAGGAGAAAGAGAGACAGATTGAGGGAAGAGAGAGGGAGAGACAAATCGAGAGAAGAGAGAGAAGAAACCCTAACCTGTTTTGGCTTGGTCTTCTCTGTTCTTCTCTATTCTTCTTCGCCTTCTTTTCTTCATCTTCTGTCTTCTTCTCTTCTTATTTCGTTTCTTCTTTCTCTCTCCTCCATTTTTTGTCTCTTTTGTCTCCTTCCTCCCTTTTCTGTCAGAAAAAATCAATTTATTGAATGTGTTTATTAATTTTATTATTATTGTAATTTTATAGGAACCAATGATTTTTTTTTTTTAATTTTAGATATATAATAAATAAATAAAATTATATATATTAAACATGTCCTCAGCATGTCATGTCCCCCATTTTTTGAAAATTTGCATGTCCATGTCCGTGTCCGTGCATCATAGATCACACCAAATCTCATCAAAATATTTCTTCTGGATAGAAAAAGAAATTAAACACCAATTGGTTACCTTGATCTCATTACCTTTCTTGAACCAAGATACGGAATAAGGATGGGTATGGTCCTCTACCGGAAGGTTGAGTTTAGCCACCACCTCTTGAGAAACTACGTTCTCACAACTTCTACTATCAATGATCATGTTACAGACACGTCCACCAATGTTGCAAGTGGTAAAGAAAGCATTGGTGCGCAACCAATCTTCTTGGCTCTCTAGCTTTGGTGATAAAAAGCGTCTTCTTTAACATAAGAGCAAGACCCACTTCTTCATCACTATCTCCATCAATTTCAATATTATCCGAAGTGTCATAAATTGGAGCACTCTCATAAACTTCAATAAGAAGTGTCTTGTTCCGATTAGTACCCATATTCTTGTGGCAATCGGAAGATCTATGGCACAGTTCTCCACACTTGAAGCACTTGAAAGTTCCACCTTGAGGTGGATTTCGGTTTTTGGAAGCACCATTAGGATGAGGAGATTTAGAGGAAGAAGCACCCCTTATCCATAAACTTGGAAGGAGGACTAGCTTTGACAAAGCTAGAAAAAGGACCTGGCCTAAAACCACCTCGAAACCCTCCTTAGGAGTATTGTCCCATTTGGGAAGCACGACGACTTGGTTGCTTTTCCACAGCTAAAGCTCAATTATAGGCTTCAGAAACATTACACAATGTATGCAAGGCAAGAACATCTTGGATTGAAGGCTTCAAACCACTCACATAACGAGCCACCCGTTGCTTTTCACTTTCATTTAAATCAACCAGAGAAATGAGTTGATAGAAAGATTCCATGCTAAGAAGCACGGACACGGACACGTGACACGACACGAATACGACACGGACACGCCGACACGTTAATTTTAAAAAAATGCAGGACACGACACGTGGAGGACACGCATGAAATATATAATTTTATATATTTATTATATATTATATATATGAATATATCATTCGAAGATAATAAAAAATGCAATATAGCACTATTTCCTATAAATTTATATGGTTTTTGTTTTGTTATTGTATCTTAAGTTGTTTTGTTCAAAATTATAATTAGTTTCACATATGTATAATCAATAGACACATTTGTTTAAACAATTGACATGTGTGTCCTCCAAGTGTCCAAAAAGCGTTCGGGTATTTAAAAATATTTAAAAAATAGGACACGTTTTGAAGAGTATCGGACACGTGTCCTAAGAGTGTCCAAAGAGTGTCGGTGTCCGACACGGACACGACACGGATACGTCACCTTCTTAGAAGTGTCCGTGCTTCTTAGATTCCATGTAATCACCCAGTCATTATCTATTTGGCTTGATTAATATATATATACTAGTATATGCCCGTGCCTAAAGGCACTGTATAAATATTGTTAGAATTAAAATATAATTGTAATTTATATATTAAAAATTTATGGAGTCTGTAATATTTTTTGATACAAATATTAAAAAAATATAAAGAAATATTATTTTGGTTATAAAGAAATATAATTGGTTGCTTTTCCACAGCTAAAGCTCAATTATAGGCTTCGCAAACATTACACAATGTATGCAAGGCAAGAACATCTTGGATTGAAGGCTTCAAACCACTCACATAACGAGCCACCCGTTGCTCTTCACTTTCATTTAAATCAACCCGAGAAATGAGTTGATAGAAAGATTCCATGTAATCACCCACACTTCAAACTTGCTTGAGAGCATGAAGTGCTTGGTAGACACGTTGAAGATAGTTGAATGGTAAGAAATGACCCTTCAACTTCTTCTTCATCTTCTCCCAATTACAAATTTTCTCTTTGCCACATCGCCAACGATTAAGTTGAAGTTGTTCCCACCAAGCAGAAGCCCTTCCTTTTAATTGAATGGCAACAAACTTGACCTTCTTCTCGTCGGAAACCTCACCATAATCAAAGATCCACTCAATAGTGTTAAGCCAATCAATGAATTTGTCGGGATTAAGGCTTCCATGAAAGGCAGGAAACTCAATCTTGATATTGTTCTTCCATTTGTGATCCATTCTACCCATATCCGCTCGATGCCTTTGCGGCGCACAAAAAAGATTAACAAAAGAATGACGGGTACCACCCTCAGTCTCATCGGAACCATCACTACCATTGGTAGGAGGAGGAAGGAGACATTGCACCATCTCGATTAGAATGGCAATTTGCTGTCTCATCTCAGCCATTCATCTCTCGGATATGGAACCCCATTACCCTCGATGTCATCACCCAAATCCGGGGCATAACCCCTACCACGACCACCGTGACAACCTCGACCCCGATTAGCTATTGAATTTCCCAAATGTGCAAGTCACAAGAATCACAAACCCATTTCAACTAACAGTTCAAGAACAAGAATGCAACAACCCGATAGTGCAATAGTTCAAGAAATGATGCAAAATGAACCAGATTCAAGAATGGGAAACAATCTGTATAACAGTCCCAAACTCAATGGAAACAGGGATTGAGAATACCTGTGTAGAACCAGAGCACAATTACAGATTAAGAAGCTAAGTCCCAAACTCCAAAGCAGTCGAACAATCGTACTCCAAACAGTGAAGGAATCCCAGTTGCGAGTCAAATCCCATTCGCAGAAGTCACCAACTAGTTCAAGTTTGAAAAATTCAAGAATGAGAGGTCGCAATTTCGACTGAATTCCAGACTTAAAATTGAAAATCAACCCTAACCAGATGTGAACTCAAAACAAGTGAACAAGATTTCTCTTCCGTCTTCAACTTCGACTTCAGATAAAGAGATCAAATTGCAATCGTGAAGGTATCTTTGGTTTTCAGACAGATTCGAACCCAAGAAGGGCTTCGAACTGGAATACGAAGTCGACAAAGGCCCCAAATTGAAACACGAACTCGATCGATCGCTTCCACGAAGGAATCTGAACTTTAGGTCAAGCTTTGAACAGAGATGCAAGTGTGATTGTGTGTTGCGAGATAAACGACTGCTTCGAGATTATCAAATTAGGGTTACAATCTCCAGTGACAACTTCAAATGTAGATTCTAGAGAACAAGAAAAATCTGCAAATCCAATCTGTGAAGTCGAAGGTCCAAATCAGGTACATAAGTTTCATGGGTGATGAACCAATCAGATTATAAGATAATAGGATCAAAATCTTGGCTCTTTTGCTCTGATACCAAATGATGATGGGCCCAATCAAGAACATGAGAGAGAATTTAGAGAGAAATATCTCAATCAATCAATGTTCAATATCTAAAAGTTGGTTACAAAGTGGTTATGTCTCTTCTAGATATAGGCTACAATTTCCTTCCACTAACTATCACATGCTATGCATATGATATCCTACATCACCTCTTCAACTATGAAAATCATACAAATACACCCTTTTTGGAGGCAGTTTAGAGTGGGTCAGCAGGGGGTCAAAGTGAACATTTTGATAGTTGAAACGGGTCAAAATGTACGGGTTCATAGATGAAGGGGCAAAGTGATATTCGCTAATAGTTAAAGGGATCTTAGTGTAATTAACCCTTAAAAAAAAAGTCCAGCAACTACATGATGTACATGAAAGAGATGTAAACACACCTTATTCAAGCAACGATGTGCTTCAAGAACTGCTTTTAGGTTCAACATCGGCTCACCCATTCCCATAAACACTATGTTTGTAACCCTATGCTTGAAAAGCTCCTCTATAGCCAAAACCTGCACATAGAAATGTTGAACCACAACATGGTACTAGATCATTATTGAGCTATTCAGCTGAATTCACATATCATGTTCCTTGAAAGCAAAAACAAACTACACAGTGAAACAATCTTCTATAAACTAGGGGACTTTCAAGAAATGAGGAGGGTCACATGAGGACAAACCTAGTTTTGTTTATGCTCAAGGGCATATATCTTGTCTCAATCAAACATTAAGAGGTTGGTTTTCCATTTGGTGTAAACGTCAATGTATTCAAACTTATCAATCACGTACCAGTCAACATACCATTTTTGTCATTGGTATGGTACTGGTGCATTTTGGCATACTGTTTCCGATTTATTGCTATAATTATTATATATATATATATGAATTGTTTTGAATTTATAAAACCTTTCAGAAAAATTCTATTTATTAACAAAATACAATTTGTTAATGTATAACTAATTTTACAAGATATAAAAGTACTTAGCAATCTAAATCATCATGAACAAAACAATTTGTATAATTAGCTAATTGACGTTTAGAACAATGTCTTAATTAATAATATGCACATTAGAACTTGATAGTACCTTTTTAACATTTATTTATTCAAAACGAGAGAGAGAGAGAGAGAGTACAGCCTATGTGTAAGCAAAACAAGAGGGAGGGAGTACTATTTATTCATTTATTTAGAGGGGGAGTACGATCTCTGGCAGAAGAGAGAGAGTACTAGGAGCAAAAGATTTAAGAGAGATAATAACGATGTGAGGTATGTGTAGATGAAATGTTAAAAAAATCTGTTATTGTACCAGACGGAACTGTTCAGAACTACCGAATTAGGACAGAATTGTTAGAACCCACAGGAATAAGGCGGAAAACAAAGTGATACAAAACTCAGGGTAAACGTTTTCCATTAGAACAGTACAATCCGGACTGTACCACCCGGTACGGAACGAAATTAATAACCATGATTCAAGCACCACACCTGTTTATGGACTCTATAAATGAACATATTAGAGACGTAACATAAACCTGCTCAACAATTTCATGCCTCTGAAGGTTCCTTGAGAATCCCCCCTTGCCGGTAGCACAAAATGAGCATCGCAATGGACAACCTACCTAAATATTAAAAGCAAAAGGGAGGAAAAGAACATTATTTAACTTAAAAATCACATCAACAATTTCCCAAAACAGCATAAGATCCACCCAGCCAAAAAAAGATGTGTTGGGCTTGCTGGCTAGTTCTTTGGTTAGAAGATCACCTGTGATGAAATACACGCAGTAAGGCGAACTGAACCTTTATCATCTTCAACTGGTATACCAACTGTTTCAACTAGTGTGTTGTCCTCCAGTTTTATTAATAACTGCAGTAAGTGGTGAGCAGAAAATGATTCAACCTCCCAGATAACCATGAACCCAATAAAAAGGGAGAGAAATGATTTTCTACAGCAAATTCATGGTAAATGAAATGTAGGAATCAACATGTAAAGCAGAAATATTTCCATTTTTGGAATCCATCAACATCTACATATGGTACTAGACCATTCATATAAAGTTCTTCTCAAGCATTTTTTAGTACTTCGAAAATCAAAGTCATAATGAATACCAGCTGTGAAAAATTACTTCATTTTCACATCCTTTTTTAACTTTCTTGCAGTCAAGCTTAAATTTTTTAATAGCCTACTAATGAATCTACTTCTCCCTTCATAGCTGTCTACTTCAATCACATTATTTTTTCTTTTTAAACAAAATAAATAAATGAAAAGTAACATCAGCAGTGATGGAGCCACATTAAGGCCAGGAGAGGCACATGCCCCTCCTTAAGTTTGTAGAAATTGTACTTTCACTTCTAATTATAAAAAAATTTCAATTTGCTTCTTTGAAGTTTCAAATATGCCTCTAAATTCTTATACATCCTCTTTTCCTTTCCTTCTCTTTTCAACAGAGTCCATGCAATTTTTAACTTTAAATGTTTAATTTTGCTAAAACTTCTTTTAAAAAATTTATATTATTTCTCTATATTCTCTCTCATTTCTTTATCTACCCCTCTCTATATCTTCTTTTTTTTTCTTTTTTCATGTGTGTATCTTACTGTGATTTCATCCTATTTTTATGGAAGGATGTGATCACATTTTATATAAGAAAATCAATATTTAAAAATAAAAAAAATAAAAACAGAAGAAATTTATCAGTTAACTCGAGCATAACTCTAACATATAACTCTGGCATCATGTTGAATTTTAATCCTCCCACCACTAAATGAACATTGGTTTAGTTGGGTTGTGATAGATCTTGGTAAGGTATCAATTCAATGTTGTGCCTCCCACCAAAATACTGACTCCACCACTAAACACGGTTCGAATTTTAAAAATGATTATCATTATCCAAATAAATACTTGAATTAAATTGAAAGGGATCATACAACACAGAAGCTCCTTAAGACTGGCTTAACCGCTACTACCTTGATAGTACCATCAGCTGCAGTCACTGCACGATGAACAGGTGACCGCCCAACCTTCCATCCAGCTTCCTCAAGATCATTTCTAAATGCCTGAGGCACTGTTCACCAACAGTCACGCAATAAAATTAATTGAACATGTGCCATATAGTTGTCAAAAAATTAAATCAAAATCCAACAACAAGAGAGCACCAAATTGGATTGCACTCACAGTGACTGAAATCCTGAATTTCTTTGACCTTCCTCTTGTACAGAAGATGATGAAGTTGTTTCCCCCTATACTTTTCCTAAATTATTACAACATTAAACAATTAAATATTGTTTTTTTTTTTTAAATTATTTTTTGGGTGTGTGTGCGCGCGCGCAATGCTTTCCTACAGTTAGTTTCTGGGCATCCAAACAGAGCATAACTAGGTTAATTTTCATAGTTGAGGGTTTTACCTGACCCAAGTCGACGGCGAGCTGTTGAAGCTGTTGCTCAGACATGCCGAGGAGAACGTGGGAATCAGTGTGAGGGAGTTTCTTGAGAGAGGAGGAGGAGGAGGAGGGGATAGTGATGGTGCGTGAAGGGATAGTAGTGAGGGAGCGAGACCGTAGCGCACGTGCGAGGGGCAAATAGCACACGTACACGTGCTGAAGTAACGCCATTGAAGGTGACCAGAGACCAGAGCTCTGCGGTCTCCTCCTCCGTGGATAGAAAAATGGATAGGTCAGGTCGAACGAGGAGCGCACCAAAACCAGAAGCATCTATTTACGCACACCAAATATACTCTGTACACGCACATATTTATTTTTATTACAATTTTATTATTTTTATTACAATTTTATTCCTAAGTAAAATTATTATTTTAGACATGGTATCAATTCAAATAAACTAGCATCTCAATACACATCCAGACTTCACATCCATCTGTTATTCAAGCTATTTAGCTCCAAGTTTGTAGCTGGGTACTTTTTCTATTGAAGTTGTTGAAGCTTTGGTCCATTGAAGCTATTGAAGTTCCAAGTCCATTCGTAACTTTTCATTTCTATTAGTTTACACACTAATCTCATCCTCATTCGTCATTATTATGGAGGATTTCTCTTCTGAAAATTTAGATTTTCAAAAGCAAATAAATGTTTACGAGAAAGATAACAGAGGAAATGTAAGTTTTGTAATGTAAAAGTCTTGTTTTTTTTTTTTCAGTGTCGTTCGGATTACTAGAGCCGAATTATATCATTATGTTTAGAAATCTACTTCCGAAATAAATATTTAATTTCGGAAGTTGTTGTTCGAAATAAGTTAAATTTTACAACATTCAACTTCCGAAATTTTAAAATTACTTCGGACAACTGCTTCCGAAAATTAGCATTTTGTTTAACATTGTACTTTCGAATGAAGTAAATTTTTTTTTTCCCATTTTATATTCCAAATTTGTAAACTGCATACCAAATTTATAGTTTCAAATTGCAAATTAATCTTTATAATACCATTAAAAATTTGTAATGTTATACAAAACATATAGGAATATGTGTCAACTCAAGGAAGTCATGTTTGCGCAGATAGTGTGTTGGATTACACTACTCAATTCACAACTGAACAGGTTCACTCTACAAAATTATAATGATAATGTTTCGAATTGCTCAACAAATGTAAATATTTGATAATATTTATTTGACTTTGTAGGTATTCAAAAGTAAGGATGAATTGCTCAACTAGGTACGTGAAGTTGGAAAGAGAAATGGTTTGGTCATTGTAATCAAAACATCAGACTATGGTGGAGGGAAAAAAAGACCCAGGATGTATCTTGCTTGTGAGAGGAGTGGCCAATATAGAGCAACAAAGAAGTTAAGACATGATGGCAACAATACATCAAGAATAACCAGTACGAAGAAGTGCGGTTGTCCTTTTGATATAAGGGCTCATAGGTTTACCACACATGATAAATGGACATTGACCGTAGTATGCGGATTGCATAACCATCCACTTGCAGAGCACCTTGAGGGACATTCATATGCGGGGAGTCTGTCAAAGGATGAGAAAGCATTGTTAATGGATATGTCAAAGAGCATGGTTCGGCCAAAAGAAATCCTAGTAACCTTGAAACAACAAGATGCCCTTAATGTAAGCATACTTAAAACCATTTACAATGCACGCCATCGAAACAGGGTGGTACAGAGAGCTGGAAGATCACAGATGCAACACTTATTGGGTGAATTGGCCAAGTATAATTACATTGAGCGCCATCAATGTAAAGAGTCCACGATGACTGTGACAGACTTGTTTTGGGCACATCCTACTAGTTTGGACTTATTTCGGTCTTTCCCACGTATATTAATTATGGATTGCACATATAAAATCAATAGATATCGTCTTCCTCTTTTTGAAATTATGGGAGTGACATCAACTGAAATGACTTTCTCTGTAGCTTTCGCATACTTACAGTATGAGAGGGCCGATAACTATGTATAGGTGTTAGTTACATTGCGTGATGTCATGAATGGTTTTGTTTTGCCATCAATTATTGTTACTGACAAAGAGCTAGCCTTGATGAATGCCATACAGAAGATATTCCCGACTGGCAGATATTTATTATGTCGTTGGTATATCAATAAGAATGTATTGACCAAATGCAAGAAAATGTTTGAGACACAGCAGAAATGGAAGAAGTTCAACCATGAGTGGAACTTTTTAGTGTATTCATCTTCTGAAATTCAATTCGATGAGCGTCTTAAATCATTACTTAAGGAATTCAGTAGTTATCCGGATACAGTCAACTACGTCATGAATACTTGGTTGGTTCCCTACAAGGAGAAATTTGTGGCAGCATGGACAGACACGTGTATGCATTGTGGCAATGTTACAACCAACTGGTAAGATTACTTTTGTTCAATATGTTATTAATAAGTGCCATGTACTTGATTTTAATTTCACTTACATTGAATTGAATAGGGCTGAAAGTGCAGATGCAAAACTTAAAAGACAATTGGGTTCATGTCAAGTCTCATTTCAGGCATCATTTGAGAAAATGCATAGTCTGCTTGAGTTACAACACACTGATATCAAGGCTTCATTTGAGAAAAGTCTAACTGTTGTGCAACATCAATTTAAACCTTCTCAGTTCAAGGAGCTACAGGGTAATGTGTCTATCTCTGCATTAGAGTATTTGCTTGTAGAGAGTAAGAGAGCCAATTCCATTGGCATTGATGCTGAAGCTTGTGGATGCGTCCTTCGCCGCACTCATGATTTACCTTGTGCCCATGAGATTGCTGACTACATCAGACAAGATCGTCCTATACCACTTGCTACCATACACTCACAATGGAGACAACTTCATATCTCCATATGCAACAAAGAAAAGGAAACAAAGATGACTTGTCATATAGAAGTAGAGTTGTTTGTGAAAAAGTTCAATAAAAGTGATAGAACCATGCGGTTGGAGCTTTTGAAGAAGTTGAAAGAGATTGTATGTCTGGGAAGCACTTTTCTTGTTGAGCCCGAGGTGAAGCCCAAAACACGTCCTCGGGATCATAAGTAGATCAATGTTTCTACCCATCGTGCATTTGAGTTGGTGCAATCTGGACATGATTCCTTTTCACCTAGGGACACTCAAATCACTACATTAGCTTCTGCTATAGAAACCAAGAAGAAACTACCTGTTAAGGAAAAGAAGAAGGTGAATGCGAAAGGGAAGGTATACATTACTAGAATAGTGAAACCTAGTGCATATGTTGATGTTTTCCCTTCTAGGTTGAAACCATACATTAAGTTTGTCAAGGATGTAGCTACAGATGGGAATTGTGGTTTCAGGGCTATAACTGCTTCAATTGGTCATACAGAAGATGATTGGGCTCAGGTTAGGCGTGATCTTTTGGGTGAGCTGCACACACACAAAGAGGAATACATTACACTTTATGGGTCCTACGAAAGGTTTGAAGAATTGACAAGCATATTGTCATACTTTGAAGACAGTCCTGGATACTCACATTGGATGACTATGCCAGACATAGGGCATCTTGTTGCATCGTGCTACAATCTTGTGTTATACCATTTGTCATTACAGCAATGTCTCACCTTTTTACCTCTTAGAACAGTGCTAGTACCTCAACTTGATAGACATGAGATTGCTATTAGGTTTGTCAATGGAAATCATTTCGTCCAGGTATAACAGAAACTTATCAATTTGTGCATGTACAAGCAGTTATGAGGTATGACCACTAACTCAATTGACATTTGGTGTAGGTTTTTTTGCAACCAGACCATCCAGTTCCTCCTATAGCCACTAATTGGAGAAAATACCGGCACCCTTGCGTTGTCTATTGGGATGATGCATATGTGCTCCGCATTTAGCATTTCAAGGACATTATTCATGATACTGTAGCTACTCGAGAGACATTTGATGTTGTTGATGTCGCATGACACATGTATGCATTTGACAATGTTAGAATTATGAAAGAAATTAATAGATGTGTTTTTGATGTTGATGTGTTCTGTGGCATGGATTGAATGTTATCGACCATTGTTACCATTCCATTCTAATAACAAAATATCATTTATAAAATCAACGACCATTGTTACCATTCCATAGTAATAATAAAATGTCATTTTCAATGGTATCAACCATTGTTGCCATTCTATTCCAATAAGAAAATATTAACCACTGTTAGCATTACAACAATGTCATCTTACAAAAAACACCACAAAAAATTCATCAACTAACAAATAACATGTCACGAATCAGCTGTATGCCTACGCCTAGGCCTACGACTGTATGTCAATGTCGGAGATGAAAAACGGCCTCCAGTATAACTAGGTCCAGCTTCGTTAATGTGCTGACCTTCAAGGACATGCGTCATAGTCTCGATAGCCTGGTAAAGTCGATGAGGATGTCGAATCCCCTCCTCATAACCAGCCTCAACAACGGGATATGCAATCTACAGTGCATGTGCAATACGCTGCATTTGAAAAGAATATCACATTTTAGGGAACATATCAGAAAATAAAAAGTAAGTTACAAATGCATAAAAGAGGATAATATATTACATCGGCATGTTGGCTGAAATCCTGATGGTCATGGACACACGATTCATCAGTGTGCTCAACATATAGGTACGTGATATTCTTATACCAATCCATGTAACCTGGTACACATTCCCAAGGCTGACGAACTGGTGTGCTCCTCCGCTGTTCAGATAACACGTGGTTATCCCAAGCCTCCCAGATCTTATCCAAGTATCTATACATGACTGTATATCGTGCAGATATGTTGCCTCGAGCACCACGACTGGGAGCTAGCGGTGCATCTAGGATGGTTTGAACCCTGCCAAACTGCCTCAGAACTCTATCTGGATAATAGGGTTCGACCACGTCTAAGTACTTTAAGCATCCATGGTAGAACGTAACCGGGTTACATGGATGCCGGTCTCTGCAGCTGTGGTATAGATCCCAAATAACCTGTAAACGTAAAATGTTTTTGAATTAAAGTATATAAAGGGTAAGATAAATGAAAAGTGTTAAAATTATCTCAGGATGAGTAAACTTACATCAGTCGCTACCAAACTGTCCAGCTCTGCTTGAAAAGATTTCAAATGATCAATGGAGGAACCCGCCTCTCTCATAGATGCCCAATGGTACACGTGTGGCATGTCTTCATTGTAGCCCATGTTCTGGTGAGGTCGGAATGCTCGGAAGTGCTCATAAATCCACGCCTCCAAAAGAGTCATATAATCACTCATCTGCTTAAATCCGGACCGGCTAGCATACCTCAACTGTCTGTATAAAAATGCTAATGTAGCAGCACCCCAGGCGTAAGTATGAATGGATCCCAAATCCATCAATAAGCTAAGGTAAACAACAGGAACCCTGCCGCTACTCTTGTCACTGAAGAGTGTACATTCCAACAGAAACAACAAATAAGCTCTAGCAGCGCATTGTATAGCCTCATCGGGGTCTGAATCTGTGACACCAGCAAACTGACTTCGCAATCACTCAAGCCTGACTGAATTGCCACCAGCAGTAGAAACCTCTTCATGTGCTACACGTTCAGTAATCCCTAAGCCAGAAACTAGTAGTGTAACTCCATGATGATCCGTCACATCCGGTACGCTCACTGATCTGCCTACAATGGGAAGGCTAAGAATAGTGCCAACATCATCCAAAGTCAAGGTCATCTCACCAACTGTCATGTGAAATGTATTCATCTCAGATTGCCATCTCTCAACAAAACTGGAGATTAGAAGCTTGTTAACGAACCGATAAGTGCAACGAGCTAACTGTGACAGCCCAGATTGCTCAATAATGGCTTTGAATCTGGTGTTGTTGTCTACTGACCACCATGGCCATGCAAGGATCTTCGAAGAGTGATTCTGACACTTTAAGGGCCCTCATTCTTATAACACAAATGATATCTCCTTAGAAACTACCATACAACACACAAAACAAAAAAACTCATATACAAATGAATTTCACTTATGCTCAAGAATGTTTACCTCCTCGTGCCAAACAGCTGCAGCGACATGACTATTGAAACTCCGCAGTATTAATGGATTAGTCGGTCCACCTGGAAAAACATAAGTAAGGTACTCTTCCTGGACAGTAGGAGAATCGGGTAAAGAGGCGTCCTCCACAGCAACGTCTGGCATATCATCACCTTGAACTCGTCTTTTGCTTCGGCTTCGGCTTCGACTGGCACTGGGGATATCATATTCTACCGAAACTGGATCATGACCTCAACCACGACCTCGTCCTCGCCCATGCCCTCGTCCCCGTTCATGGTCAACATCCAATTCACAATGTCGTCTATTTGAAGTAGTAGGTGGCACACGATGTTGATATTCAAAATTCATATTATCTGCAAAAATTAATATGTTTGATGACTATACAAATGTAAAAAGAATATACAAAAAAAAAGAAAAAAAAAAAAGAACAAACGGTTCGGAAGTTGAAAATCGAAATAAAAAATTAATTTCAGAAGTTGAATGTTGTCCGAATTTAAAATATTCGGAAGTTGACTGCCGAAATAATGAAAAATTTTCAGAAACCTACTGCTGAAATAAATCACTAATTTCGGATTCCTACTTCTGAACAAAATCCTTAATTTCGGAAAACCAGTTCCGAACGGTTTGTTTACACTCTGTGGGCCTTCGTTCGTTTTCAAAATGATAAAAACAAAACTCTACAGTACAAATTAAATAGGAATGAGGATTGAAAA